TGTAAAATGCTCTCAGATAATTTACCTGACAACTGTCTCACAACCAAAACTGTTAAACTAAACAGCGCAAGATATTATAGTGTCTTCCTTATTGTGATACATCCAAGTGAAACATATTTGTCGAAAAAAAAAAAAAAAAAAAAAAAAATTAAGCTTGGTTCTATTCATCGGTTGTTGATTGAATCGAGGCAGATCTGAATGCAATCTTGAACACAATTGTAAGAAAGGGGCGGGGTTTAAGCAGACCAAGGGTGTGTCACAATCATTTCAGTAGTCAGTGCACTGATCATTGAGTCAAGTCATTTTATGGGCTGTCTCTCAATCGCAAAATTCTACCAGTGAAACGTTTGATCCCTATAAAGTCCCACAATGCAGTGCACTGTTAAAAACAGAGAGCACTGATACTTTCTATGTTCCCTTAATGGAAAATCTGAAGCGCAAAACATAAATCCTGCAAGCCAACTCACTACACATAATGACACGTGATAGAGGTTTTTAAAATACAAACCATTATTCAATTATAATTCTGCATAAACGTACATCGCTAGACAGGTGTACAGCTAACATTTATCTTTTATGTTCGCCTGAAGTGTTGCATGTATATGTAAATAACAAATTGTTTATCATAATGTACTTTAGATAACATTTAGAAATAATTTCAGAAAGATATCAGTTCTTTTGATGTTCATAAATACCAGTAGTAATGTTGTACAATGAGGATGTTGTCATATTGCAAGAAATAGTCATCACTTATCAGTGTCCCAATGTGTAGTGGTCCTTACTGTCCTTACCAGTGCCCGAATTCATGTCCACGATATACTGACTCACGACCCGTTAGGGGGCCGATTGAGACGCACCTTAAATAATCGGTAAAGTCCGGGATATGTCACCAGAGAGAAGTCTGTTGTCTCCCTGGAATCTTGCATTGACCAATCGTTCACAATAAGATCAACAGCACGCATTAAGAAAATAGATAAATGTTCAATTCATGTCATTATATCGACAAATAGGACAGCTCACGGTCTGTTAGACATCAATGACGTGTGAATGAGATCTGAAAGACTAAAACACAATTGTTTCGATGAGTATCAATGTATTACTTTGGAAGAAGAGGTCATCACATTGCTGCTGTTGCACCACCAACAATTAACCCACAAAACCTGGAGCAGCCAGGTCATATTAAGGCCTGTTACCACCCATTCGCTCTGATAATCTGCTGGTGATTGGCACTTCCCTATTCTCCCCTCACCTCGGCCCTTCCCACACGTGTCATCTTGGCTCGCCGGAGGGCAGATAGGGGCTGTCAATTAGCAGATAATGTAGGGAGCAGCTGAATGTCAAACAACGCTTCCCCAGCGGCGACCACGCATCAAATGTCCGTCTGGCTGCCTGCGGGATACAATGTCTTGTTACTGAAGTGGGGTTAGAGGGAAAAACAGCCAGCGGGAGGAGAGAAAAGTTGACGAAATCTGGCACGTTAGTTACAGGCTCTCTATCACTTTCACTAATGCAAGATGGCATTATAGTTCAATTGTAGGTTCATAAGTGACGTCTAGAATCACTGTGGCATTTGTTTGGGCTTTCTTTCCCGCATGTTTACAGTTTCGGTTTGGTATTTTCAACTGTAAACTTTCTGGTCAATACTTTTTCTTGAATTTCTAGAACTTCAGAGTAGATATAGTAAACCATTCAAGTAGCCTGATGTGATTTTCAGTTCAAAAGCAATAAAAATACATGCAAATCTTGACTAACTTCAAATACTTTTAACATGAGAAAGGACTTTTTTCCATGTCCACCATGTAGGCTGACCAAAATCTAATCAAGTTTGTATGTGTATAGATCCCCCTTTCCTCCTGAAACCTCCTTCACCATTTCATTTGAGCCCTATCACCTTTAAAAATAACAGTAACCACCTCTTGTAGGTCAAGTCAGACAAATAGTCCCCTGGATATAATTAGCCATCTGTCAACAACCATCAATCCATCCTGGCTGAAAGCCGTGTCAAACAGTACTGTGGAATTTCAACCAGATCCATGACTGCCAAACGTATGGATTTCAAAAGACACACTGTCAGGAGAAAATTTGGCCCAAAAAATATTTCAAGAGATTTGTAAGGAAATTAATGTCAAATCCAATCCATCATTACTAGCCTAAGGGTATAAGGTTTGCGGTTAACTTAGTGATATGTGAGAAAACGTCAAGTTTTTAAGAAGGACGTGCCAACTTATAAATTTAGAGAATTTTAAAATGGAGGGTTCGCTGCCAAATAGCACTGACCTCAGTTTGATGCTCAACTACTTAAGCGCTCCATCTCCAAAGCGACTAGTAATATGCAGGCATAACAGGGTCAATGTCTCCATCTTGTGGTCATTACTTTTGCTCAAATTGGAACAAAAAATACTTATGTATTACAGTGAAATGATCTCTTAACACATTGCACAACTACAAATGACTTAAGCATAAATTAAATAAAATCAGAGAAGAATAACACAGAGACTCAAACTATACATATTTGAAAGTGGGTATATTGTTAAACAGGTGCCTGGCTATTTACAACAGCTGTTGTCATGGCATTGTGAGGTATTTATTTGTTTACTCCTCAAGAGGCACTAAAAATAGTGTTGCATGTATAGCTCTGCTCATTTTGCCTGGATTCAAGGGATTCCTGAGCAGAAATATAGTACACATATACTGTGCAAGCTCACTTCAACTTTAGATTCATAATACACACAAACACATTCTACTCTCCTTTTTTATGATATTAAGTGGAAATGACATTTCAGCAGTTATGAAAATTACATCAAAAAAGTTAAGCAGCATATTATAGTTTGGCAACATAAATGAGTGACTTGATGTCAGTCATTCTCATAACTTCCCCGACGTCTCTCATTTCATACACTCACAAAACGTGATATTTTCACATTTGAATACTAAAAAGGAGGGCCTAACATATGTCAGGTTAAACTAAGGCAGTGACTTACTCAGAGGGGAAAAGTCCTTACACCACAAACTACTACTGTCTGTTACCCACACTGACTTCTGTGCTTCAATATCAAACTTACTAATACAAATAAATCACAATTATTGTGCAGTTTCCAAATAAGCACACAGCAAAGATAACTACTTACATGGAGGCAGTGATATGGAACTAAACCAAACAAAAATCACAATTCAGGCATCTTTCTGTCATTTTTTCCTGACTGAAGTATATTCTGATTTTGTTTGCAAGCAATGCACTTCGATCAAACACACAACACAATCCACTCTGAGCCTATAGAATAATAGAATGATGCTGCGTCCATCCATGCAGTGCTACATCAATATCTCATGCAGAGACTTCCATAGAGAACAAGTCAATAGTATCCTACTAATTCACCTTAACTCCCAATTTAGCTAACAGATTGCTGTCTCTTAAAGAGATGATTGACCTAAAACCGATCAGATCACTGGTGATTGGAAGTGTAATTATATCAGCTTGGCTACAATGTGCCTTTTGATCTTTAAACATACCATCAGTAGACAAGTTTCACGATTAAACCAAATGTTAATGAAATTATTTATTAAAGGTACAGTGTGTAATTGTGTAATCTTCATTTTAAAAGGGATAGTTCACCCCAAAATGAAAATTCCATCAGTAATCACTCACCCTCATGTGGTCCAACCCCATAAGACTTTCGTTCATCTTTCGTTCATTTTTTGATTAAATCTGAGAGCTGGATCACTCCCCCATAGGCCTCTTAAGGGATCTAAACTGGCTGGCCCAAAAGTTATGAAAGACACCGTTACAATAGTCAGAGTGACTACAGTGGCTCAATCTTAAGTTCATCAAGCGACGAGAATACTTTTTGTGCGCAAAAAAAAAAACAAACAAAAATAACGTATATTAAAGGTTCTCTAAGATAATAACGTATATTAAAGGTTCTCGATCCTGGGTGTTGACGTTCGGAATATTTTCAAACAAATCGGAGGCTAGCTAGACCCTCCCTCCTCCGCATCTCATCTCCTCCCCCTCCCTTCCGTGCTTCCTGAAATAATTGTGAACGTGCATTTCTAGCTAATTATATCCTTGTGTGGGTTTGGCGAACATAAGCGTCAATTTATAAGAAAAAAAAAATTTAACGTTACCCACCTGTCCAGCAAAAACAGAGCAACCTGAATGTCGGACTGGAAGCCCTTCTGCCGCCGGAGTTCTCGCCATCGTTCAAAAGCTTTGCTACCGATGTAAATTCGGAACTTCGCACGTTCTTTATCCGACTCCTTCTTCTTTTTAATTTGTTCTTCAGAACGCGTCTCTTTGGTCGTGTGTCGGCCATTTTTCAAACTTCCCTCTGATGCTTCGCTCTCCTTCACACACACACCCCCTTCATGTGCACGCGCACTAACCCTCAAGACCCACCCTCAAATACTTCTTGCCAGTGATTGGCTGGAACACTGTTTGTTAGGTTTCGTGGTCCGGGTGAGACATGATTGTTTTTGTTGCCGTTTGTGGAGCCTGTGGTGTCTACAGAGACCACGTTTATTTACAGTGTGTTTAGGGGACAGGCAGCTAGCCGATAGTGAGGAGATGTTTGATGTATGTGACAAAAAATGTTTTGGCCCCACATCGCTTAGAGAACCTTTAATAACAAAAATATTAATTTCCTTTTCTGTGGGCCGTGAGATTTCACGTAGTGACTTGTCTTTCATCCACATCAGCCAAAAACACATTATCTGGCTTTTCTCAGTCTAGAAAGCTCCAAATTCAAAAATAATTTCACATTTCTTCTACATAAATTACCCATTTTAAATACACATTCATCTTTCCAGAGATGGAATGACCCTTTAAGATTGAGCCACTGTAGTCACTCGGACTATTTTAACGATGTCTTTCAAAACTTTTGGGCCGGCCAGTTTAGATCGCCTAAGAAGCCTATGGCGAAGTGATCCAGCTCTCAGATTTAATCAAAAATATCTTAATTTATGTTCAGAATATGAACAAAAGTCTTATGGGGTTGGCACAACATGAGGGTGAGTGATTACTGACAGAATTTTTATTTTGGGGTGAACTAGCACTTTAAATTAAAGTTGATATCATTGGTAGCACACCCTGATGTATAGCTTTACTGTTTGTCCCAATCGGATCCATCTATGATTTTTCTGAACTGAATCCATGAAGTCTGACCTTTTCTTGCCAGGTAAACGAGTGACTGAGTTGACCAATGAAATTGGCTGTGTGGGGTGGAGCTTGTGTTTAACTTGTTTAGGGTGAGGGGAGGAGGGGAAACACTGCTGGATTCTTAGTTTTCATGTGGCATAACACACTTATAGGAATGTACTCCTGGAGGGAAAACAATGCTCACCAGTCATTTTTACCAGGTTTGTGCAACTAATGTAGTAAGACGGTGATATTAAAAGACAACATTCAGTGTATGCCTTATGGTGATGAATACTATGTACAGGCTAGCAGATGAACTCCGAATATAAATGCATTGCAGTTTCTCATTACGCGTTTCCCATAGAATTTTTTTAAGAATACACTAAATCATGAAATCACATAACGCTTTGCAATGGGCTCATCTGCTCGCCTGAATATAGTTAACATCTTTAACTAGTGGAACACAGAATTTGACCTTTTAACACTTTCAAATCACTTTTTAAGTAGGCACCAAGTATTTTACAGTAAGCAGTAAGCGTTTTAGAATGTCCCATTGTTTTTAGTGATTTTTAGTGACTGACGCATTAAAGTGAAATCTATGAATCGGGCTGCTAAAAATGCCAAGTATCCACAGTGATTAACACTTTTAGTGTTTTTTAAGTAGTCTAATAGAGGTCTAGACATATTAAGCTGGGCTATTACTGGGAAAATTACACACAGCACCTTTAAAAATATGACAATGACTGCTCTATTTGATGCTTTGATGGATATTTTGCAGCATATTTCCCTCATTATTATGAACCATGATCAACACAGATACAGTTATTAAACTGTACCTATATCATTAGCACACTGTATTACTCAGTGTTTTCACTATGCTTTATGTTGAGGTCTGCAATGACATATGTTGTTGCATAGTAGTCTGAATCATAACTATTAGCAGGCACTTCTTGAGTTGGAGGCTCGAAGTGCCAGGCTGGCGATAGACTTCACCACGCAGGTGGAGGCTCTGTGGCAGGTGCCGGCACTAGCCATGTAATTGGAGGCTAACCGGTGTAGCCGTTTGCTCCCGAAAGTGTTAAAATGGCCAGGCATGACCAGGTCAATCTCATCTTTATCGACCATCTCAACCAGCCTTTCGCAGCTACGAATGTAGTCGCTGATCCTGCTGTAGGGAAGCCAATCAATCATGGAACCATCATAGACCACGTCTCCACTGAACAGCATCTTGTTCTCCTTGTCATGGAGACAAATGCTTCCTCTGGAATGGCCCGGCATGTGGAGAACAGAAAGTTGCCGGTCCCCAAGGTTGATAACGTCGCCTGGGAACACAACGAGAAGGAAGAAAGGAAGGAAATGTGGAATGTGGGAACTGGATATTGTCACTGCATTGCAGCACTGACACAGCAGAAGCTGTATTGACTGATGCACAAGTTATGAAAAAGAGAGAGATTTATGTAACATATGTTATGAATAAGTAAGCTTTAGTCTATTATTACTACAGCATTTACATTTTAGTTAAAAGGTTTTAATAATACCCTTATAAAAGTTTTAGAGAAAGTATTTGTGTCTATTGGATATACTGGTGAATATCTGAATAAGGTATGCTTCTAAACATCCACAAACATAAAGGCACATGGTCTATTTATCATAAATAATTCAGGAATAATTCAAAACTTTTCTGTACTGACTTTTCATTACTTTTAAAGTAAATTATTGCATAATGATATATGTTTAGTGATTATGCACTCACAAAGAGCAATTTCTAACTGATTAAATATTTCCAGCCAACTATATATGTGACCCTGGAGCACAAAGCCAGTCACAAGTCGCACGGATATATTTGTGGCAATAGCCAACAATACAATGTATGGGTCAAAATTATAGATTTTTCTTTATACCAAAAATCATTATAGAATATTAAGTAAAGATCATGTTCTATGAAGATATTTTATAAATGTATTAAAAATATATATTTTTGTGAGTGAATGCAGCACAATCGTGAACACAATGGACAACTTTAAGGGGGATTTTCTCAATGTTTCGATTTTTTTTTTTGCATCCTCAGATTCCACATTTTCAATAGTTGCATCTCAGCCAAATATTGTCATATCCTGACAAACCATAGATCAATGGAAAGCTTATTTATGCAGCAAAAAAAAAAAAAAAAAGAAATCACTAATAAATAAATAAATAGATGCATATGATGCAATGCAATACTGACTATAGACATTTTGCATGATTTTCAGACTCAAGAGGCCTAAAAATCACACCTTTTAAAGTTTTTCCCAGGACAATTCGAACCAGGACTCTAGCTCTAAGGACTCTAGACTTTAAGTCTATGTCACCTCCACGTCTGAGGATATACTTGTGAGGTGAAAGAATAGTTTGTTCACTGAAAAAACATATATTCATATGCAGTCAGTGCAACTCACATCCATTCTGAGAATAATGGGGGATGAGGTCATATCAATCATGTGTGGTTTATTCTGAGCTTTACTCTGATTCTGCCAATGGTCCACTATAATGGTGTATCTCCACCATCAGGGAAATTATAAAGCCACATTAGACAGTGAGCTTGGTTTTCACTAACCACTGACATGTCTCTGGTGAACAAGATCTGATTTGTTTCGATCTTTCTCAAGATCTTCAAAGATATTAAGCAAGGTTGCCAAGAATGAAGTCATACAATGCAGTGCATTTTACTACTGTTTTGGAGTAACGTTAGATTAGGCATGAACCAAAATTAGTTAAATAATGCAGAGAGAGGGGGGGGGAATTTAGCACAACAGTATAATACCCCACCTTCTTGTAATATATGGGTTGGCGTAACAGCAGTCACTCTATACTGGCTTGCTCGCCAACCAGGCGCGGGATCCTCCACAATCTCGCGGTCAGATAACCATGTCACGGTCTCAAAGTTGTCACCGTTAGCCAGAGCATCCACCTCCGCCTTGTGCACGCCCACCTGTTGAAACTGATGCAGCCCACCCGAATGATCAAAATGCACATGCGTGCCGATGGCTAACAGGGGGTTCTTGCGCTTGGGATCGTCCCCTAGCAGCCCTTTACTGTAGATGTATTCAGGCAGACTCCGTAAACCCAGTCCGGTATCTATGACGACGTCCTGATGAGACCCACGTATGAGCCAGATATTCGCCCTGTTCCCCGATTCATAAAAACGCTCCTGGATCCAAAACACGCCATTTTCCAGCGACTTATGCGCGTACCAGTCAGTCACAGACATCTCCAATACATTCAAGAGGTTATTATTGCATATGAGGATAAAATGTACGATTGTTGACCTATAATTTTGGTTTAAATCTAGCTGCTTCAGCTTCAGCCTCAGAAAAGACGCTGACACCCTGTTCCGCAAGAGCAGCACGTCACCGAGCGTAAAGATGTGACGCGCTGGAGAGTCGGAATACTATTGGTCAATGCGGAAATAGGCACCACCCAAATGATGCATATTCATTATATAAAGCAAGTGCGCTTTTGCCTTCAGATACTCATTTATATTCGTCTAAATGCTGAACAAGGTAAGCAATTGCCCTCCTGCAATGCGACCGCCTGGACCAGTGGTGCAGGTTTGGAAATAGTGCATTGTCATCATTTACTCACCCACATGCTGTTTCAACATTGCTGTTTACTTCTTGCATAAAGGGAAACACCTGTCCAAACAATTAAAGTGGATCCTCATTTATATGCATTGCTCCAAAAGCACAACAAAGTCCCGTACGATAATATTCCAACTTTCCTGAAGTCATATGATAGTTTTGTGTAATAAACAGACTGATTTTTAAATGTTTAAAAGATAATCTTCCTTCGGCGTTATAGCCATAAACTGTAAAAAAAAAAAAAAAGGTTTGTTTAACGTCATTGAAGCCGAACACCATTGGTTCTCACGAGTCACGTGACCTATCGCGGCGCAATCCTTTTAAAATTACAACGCGAATTATGTAAATTATTAAATTGTTTCGTTCATCCAAACTTTTTTTAAGGAATATTTGACTGACCAGAATGGCAGGAAAGGGCAGAGGAATAGCAGCATTCACCTTCAACGTTGAGGCTCTGGGCCTCACCAGAGGGTCCATGCCTGAAACCCAGAGAGGGCCGACTCCAATCTTCCCAGTGAGTTATTCTAAAACTTTAAGTTTTCTTCTTAAATGTGTATTGTTTTCCACTGAACTTTAAAATGTGCTTCAGTAAGATTAGAACATTATCCAGAAAATACTGCCTTTAGCTTTTTTTTTTTTAGATGTTTCCGAGACATTACACTCACTACCTATGACATTACTGTATCTTTTACAGCAAATTGAATATAAACCAGGGCCTTTGAAAGCTGGAGAAGATGAAGACTATATGAGAGCATTGAAACAAGAGATGAGAGGACGAATGAAAGACCTCCCTTTTAACATAAAACCCCACACAGGAAAGGGAGGTGAGTGGTAGCCTTTATTTAATTTTAGTAACATATAATGCCTAATGCTTTCTACTAGGTGTCTTATGATTTCTAAGATAATCATATTGTAAAAGTAGATGAGCACTGGGGGCAATATCAATACAGGCTATCACTGACCTTAAGATATTAAATCTATGTAACCATGTTTAAGTGAAATACTATAACTGATTAGGGATATTTTAACCTTGAATGTTATTATTTACATTATTTTAATATGTCAATTCAAGTAAGAAATGTTTAGAGGTTAAATTAATCTACTGTTTTAAAGTGTTTGCCAGTGTGCTCTGCTCACCAGTATAATTCACAGATGTGGAGAGGTACAAGGAAAAATACACAAAAGAAATCAAAAAAATTGAAGCAGGCGATTGGACACCAGGTATTGCAAGAATCCCGTATGATTAAAATTTAAATTAGCTGATTTCAGATAAATAATTGGCTTGATTTGTAGACTGGAGCAGACTTCCGAAAGAGCTGAAGCCACAGAAGAAGATAATTAAGAAGAAAATAGGTAATTTTAAGAAATGCAAAATCCCTCTTTAAAGAAACTGCAATTTTTGGATGACCTATAAACAACTTGAATGTGTACAGATAAGAAATCCACAAAGATCTCAAGCAAGGACAAGAAGGAAATGCTGAGCAAACTGGATGTGAGTTCATGCTATATTCATCACAAAAAAACTGCTGCACTATTCACATTTTCTATCTTGGTTCGCTGCAAACGTTTACAGTATATTTGGATTGAGCTGTTGTTTCACTTGTGCTTGTTTTTCAGGAACTTGAGAAGAAGGGGGATGTCAAATCAGATGAGGAGGGTGAGGAGAAGGGAAAGAAGAAAGATGGTGAGGAAGAGGAGGATGAAGAAGAAATTGAAGGAGAATATGACGAAGAAGAGCTTGAAGAGGTAAAAGATCTTACCAATACCAATATTCTAGATTAAATAAATCGTCATCGACAGCATCTGTAGCATGTTGTTCATTACCATAGATTTGGTTTTTTTTTTCAAACTTTATTTTAACTTTAACACTTACATATTGCTTAAGAATGAGAGTGTGAGATGATATCACTACCAAATTTGTCCATGCAAAGCTATCTGCTTTTTAAATGGAAAATTTCTTTGGGCATGGATATTTTTTGTCTTGTCAATCAGTTTATAAAATAAAACAGTTATTTTTGATGTATTTGTTAATATGCTTGTTCTATGCACCATATAGTTGTTTACTTCTCATTCTGTGGTAATCGGCAACATTCAATAGATGCTGTTGATGGAGCTTATGGCTGCATGCATTTCACCTAAAACATGTCATCAACAGTAAAGTGAACACCCAAGTGCCTGCTTGATAGATCTAACATGGTTTTAGTTACTTAAAACCATTTTGGTGCTACTGTTTTGAAAGCACAGAGCATTTTCCTACATAATGTTCTTGTTTGAATAACAAATAATGAATGTTCAACTAAATTCCAGAGTAGTAAAAGCGTGATGGGACTTTTTCCGCAGGAAAACGACTACATATCGAACTACTTTGAAGACGGTGATGAATACGGCGGAGGAAGTGATGAAAACATGGATGAAGCCACTTACTAGCAATAAAAAAGCTATCAGTCATTAAAAAGTCTATGATACAACAAGATAACTAAAGTGTGTCAATAATACATATAGAAGCACACATTTAGTTACAATTCATGTCTTCCTATAGGTATAAAAATTCGATTCACTGAATTATATAAATTACTAAACTGGTATTAAGCCAAATGTCGATCATATTAAAATGCTAAAAAATAATTCGGAGATTTAGATACTAAAATAGAATTCCTTTATTTTCAACCCACATCTACAGTCTACAAGATAAAGGCACGTACTGTTCAAAAGTCAATCACTGAACTCCATGTTTCATAGAAATCTTTACATCTCTGCTACTTGAATTGAATCGAGCACATGCGAGAATATTTTACAAATCACCCCTGTGCTCTTGCTAGAAGTAAACCAGGAAGTCGTTATGGTTCCATTTTAAGTTTTGTTTTTCTTTACAAGCAAGTTTAAAAATTAAAACCAGCAACTTTATTACCATCAGTTGCAATACTGAATCTGGATACTACACTTCCTAAAATAAATTAATGTGTTTATTTCCCTGACAACAAGACAGTGGCAGCAAATGTCTTAATGTATCATGTTTGCCGTCAAGGCGAACGAGCTTAATAGAGGTACAGAGCTATACACTGGCTCATGAGTGACAGACAACCAACAAAACCAGCATTTAACTGTGCAAAATGCATCAAGGAAATATGCCGATAGGATTGGAATCATTTCTTGATTACTTGATCCTTTCACGTTTCAGTTCAACTTCATTTTTAAAACGTGATTTCGCTTAAGCCATCCATAAATGCCTTCAAATTAATTTCCTGGTGATCCAAGTGCTCCTTTACGTTTCCTTTTTGTGCTTCACAAAATGTTGCTGTTCAATAGCAGGCTGTAGGTGAGAGTCTTGGTGAGAGGCAGCATTGGCCCGTGGTAACCCAAGAGGCTCAGCGACGGCTGGCTGTGTTGGTCCGGGCCTGATAGAGTCTATGGTAGTGTGGTGGCTTACATCTGCTTTCATCAAAACTTCATAGTACAACAGGTAAAAAACAGGTGTAATAATGCCCACGACCAACATGATGGCCACTGCGGTCCACCATCTCATTCCCCAGTCAGCCCCATAGTACGGGTCTTTCTTATGGGCCGGTCTGCGCTCGGGGTCTCCCAACAGCGGCTGCTCCAGTGAGGACACCACCTCGTTCAGGCCGTTCCTGGAAGGGGCAGATGACTTGACGAGAAGTTGAATGTCCTTGTCTTTCTCCTGCAGGAAGCACTCCACGCTGTCCACAGATGAGTTAGAGGACGAAGAGTCCAAGGGAGCTCCAGAAATCTGTATTTCTGTGATTCTGCGAGTGCTGCAGGGTGAGCTGCTTTTGTGGGGAGCGGTAGTGTGAGTTTCTGTGAATGAGCTGAACTTTCTCACAGGGATCCTTATTGACCGCAGCGCAAAGAAGTCCTGCTCAGTTAGAAGATTGTTGGCCCGCTTTATGTCTGCAACCTGAGAACGAACAAGAAGAAAAATCAGTAAAGCGCATTTGGGCAGCTATTAGGAGGCAAAACTGCATTACATTTTGTATATGTCGGAACATCTATGAACCATGGAGTAATGTAAAAATCCAGAGCTGGATGTGTCCCAAATATGATTAGTAAGAAGTTGTTATTATGGAGTATAATGTGCAACAGAGTTTTGTTTACAGCAGCAAAGCTGTGTCGACTTGCGTCATTAAAGGGATACTCAACCGTTTTTTGTTCATATTAAACTATGCTATTCCCTTAACTAAGACGAGTTGATGCATACCTCTGTTGTCTCAGTGCGTGCACTTAATTACATAGTTGACGCATACCTCTGTCGTCTCAGTGCGTGCACTTAAAAACATAGTTTAATATGAAAAACGATGGATTATCCCTTTAATACAGAATTCAACTTGCGTGATTAGGTGTGACTAAAACACAGATTTTACACTAGCAACTAATGTGACTCATCTAATCAGAATTTAGAGTAGGAACCATGCCTCATGTAAAATTGTTTGTTTTGAGACTTTACATTTAAGTTTAACATGCTTTTGCACCAATAACAGACTTACTGATTTCAGAATAATCATTTTCGCTTTCGTCTATCTGGTTCTTAATAAACTTTTTTTTTTTTTTTTTTTAAATCACTTAATTACCCTTAGATAGACATTAAAACAAGGTTATTAAAGTCGTGATGAAACAGAAGTAGCTTCATTAGATCTTTTTTTTCTCCCCCCATTTGTGACGTACAGCGTTTACAAGTATAACAGATTCTTGGAAAAAGGGTCTGGACATCATCAACTGGTTGTTGATTCGCTTGTAAAATGCGGATGTCACAAAAGTGTAGGAAAATTCAAGCGAAACTTGCAGAGGTTTAAGCGAACTAAATAATTACAGAAGTCAGACATAATAATACATAATAAGAGAGAGAAATGTGTCCAGTTATGACAAAAAAATTAAACTGATGAATTTGTTACAATAAGAAACAGAAACGTATAGTAATACAAAAGTAAAATAGAACGCATTATATTTCTATAATTTTGATCATAATGGCGACCTTACTATAAACATACTGAAAGAAGAAAAGGTAAGGGCATAAATAAACCCTGACTTACAGTACAGAAATATTGCAGAGAAATACTGATCAGCGTATCTCCCTCTTTTATGTCCCTTATCAAGTATACAATATCGTCCTTGCGATCTGTAGATGAGCTGTGCCTGCGATGCCTTTCCCTGCCTCTGGAACGCAGCTCAAAGCTCTCTCCATCTTCCTCCGAGTATTCAGTCTCTGAGTTGTTCCCAAAAGCGGACATGTAACCACTCGTGGGTGGCTGCACTGTGGTTGCAAATTGAAAACCATTGTGCTGGTTCCTTCCAGTCATTTTTCACTGTGAAAAGAACAAAAGGATAATGAATGTTATTGTTGAACAGGTGTGTATCACAGAATGTACTCTGTTTGATGCGTATGAGATCATTGTATTCCCTTTACTGTGGCAGATAAAATAAGAAAAAAAAAATAGTTGATGTGTGGGAAATTTAGATATGGGTGTTGGGTGGATATCTAGTAGATTACTGTAAGCACACAAAATGTGCTAAAGTTATGCTATGTACAACAGCTAACACTGCTGATAAGTTAAAAATTCACCCTTGGCAGATGTTGACCAGCTATTTTAGGATGTTCCTAGCCTTGAAATATTAACCGTCTCCTGTGAACTGTACGTTATTTCGTACGTGGCCTGGCACGCACAGGTAACGTTAACTAACCAACTAGCTAAGTTATATAGCAGCTTAGTTACACATCTTCTTTAGCATGTAAACATGACTTCACAAGACAAGGCCAATTTTATCCAAGACAAAAAAACAATGACACCTGGCCAAACAGCGTTTATTCAAATTAAATAAACGCTAGCTAAATGGTTGTTTATCAAATAAAGCCACTTAATAAGGTTTATTGTCACGTTATAACTTACACGTAGATGCTAAGTAGCTCAGTTAGCATAGTTTAGCCAATGCTAAGCAAAACACCAACTACAATATCGCCATCTGGAAAACAATCTATTGGAATACAGATTAATATAGCAGTTCCTGTACGCATATATCACTACATTAATATTACGTAAATTAATATCTTGAAACCCTCATAAGTAAACAGGGTCGATAATCTCGTGCTATTGATGCTAACCAAACTTTAATTCAGCAAACGGTGACTTACTATCTAGCCAGATTTCAGATAATAAAACGACAGTGCTAACAAAGCTTCTGTTTATCATTTTGCTGAGGTTTACCTGAGAAACGAGTATGGTCCACTTGACTTTAGTGATTAGGCCATTGTCCAGTTCCCTCTATGAGCCTCATTACTTCTGCTGCTAGATTACTGGAGACAGAGACGCCACGTCAACACCGAGGCAGCGTGAGCACGCACGCACTGACATCACCGATATCTCTCCATGTCCCGATTACATCATCAACAGTCCAGAAGGCTTTGTTGTTATCATCGATCTAGTAGTTTCCATGTGTGCACTGCAGTCGTGTTTTAAAACGGGGAGGCAAAGTTCTCACATTTTTCTATACATCAAATGTTTGTGAGTTTATATCCCTGTTACACATCATTTCTGTTTTATAAACATTACATAAAAATAGAGACCTTGTTGCAGTTCTATTTTGTATTTTACACAAACTAGGCCCAAATCTTTAAAATAAACAAATAAATAAATAAATAAATAAAAGTTTTTACATTTTGTTCCAAAATAACTAAAGGTAATGTTACTGACTAATGTTACTGACATTTTAAACAATATAGTCAACTTATTTTCATGGCTTGTAGGTTGCCACAGACACAAAAAATGTAGGCCTACACCTTTAATTTCCCCAAACTGATTTCTCACTAAAAAAGAAAACCCACAGTCATTATGTTTTCAGGCTATTTCAAATTAGATTTTAATGTGACATTAAGTGGTGATATCTATGGTTGGCTGAGTTGTTTACTTACTTTTTAATTAGTCTTCCTATTAACATCCTGTCTTCATTCAGGCCGATTCGAGAATGCACACGAAAACAAGAGGTTGGATTTATCCAACGAACCAACCATATCCAGCCATAACCAAGAGTGCGATGGAGGCATTGTCTCCACTCATTTGACTTTCCCCCATTCATTCTTAATTACCCCCCACTAAACCCACCACACACTTTGGGAGGTCTGTTAAAAGTCAATTCTCACTTTAACCTTTCCCGCTGACGCTGGTGTCACTTTTGGACAGTGTTACTTTATAAAAATGAGTGACTTTTACACTTTTTAATGTCACATTTTAATATTTGTGCTGTTTTATTTTTGAAATGTATTATTTCTCATCCAGGATTTTTATGACAGGAAATGCCCCTAATATGTCAGTGAGGCAAAGAAGGCGAGTGACAGATAATAAATAATAATACATTTTAAATAATCCATATTAGAAAAATCAAACAATGCAAATATTACAAAATGCGACTCTGGCAAGCAGGACGAGGCCAAAATGGTGCGTGCAATGCTTGTGGTGTGAGTGTTAATGAGTGTTTCAAGTTTCTCGGAGCTTCAGGAGCATAAAAGGGGAAGTGACGACAGTAAAGGATGAGAGAGCACCAGGCCTGGGGCCCGCTCTTCGTATGTTGCTAAAACATCCATGATCAAACAAGACATCCAAGATAATATCAGCATCATGATCCGGCTAAGGTTCTTCGAATACACCTGCCGGTTATGATTAGTATTGAGTTATCTGAGGTAATTGCACATGCATGCACTGGTTTAAAAGGGGATATTTGTCGATAGTAGAAACATTGATCAGCAGCGCTGCTATTGGCTGCTCATCATGGCCAAATAGCGCACTCATTTATTTACCACAGCAGAGCAAGAGTTATTGCTTGAAGGATATGGTGAATTTGAAAACGCCAGGGAACACCTCAAAGTGTGCAAAAGCCAGGAGAGAGGGCTGGCAAAAAAATAGCAGACGAATTAAGTTTGTAGTGACCAGGTTAGATGTTTTTATCACTTATTACAGTATATATTTTTAGATTTTAATAATTTCTAAATAATTTGTAACTTTGTTCGTTAATGTCAGAGTCACCACCTACTACTAGAGCATGGGAACAAGTAAAAGTGAAGTCCCATTATTCTACATAATGGTAATTTGTACTACTCATATATAATCTGTTTTAAAAAGGCACTGTTAATACATGTTTGCCTGTTTATAAAAGCAACCAAGAAAAAGGCTGAGAAAAAAGACAAGAAAAAACAAACAGGTGGTGGTGGGACCTCCCACATTATACCCAGGCAGAAGAGCTGGCCCTTGGGTTGAATATGAACCTGCTTTGTGGAGGGCATTCTTGGGTTCAGCTCTTCCTCAGACCCACAGCCAGAGGCAGGAGCAGCAACACCTTGACTGCTGGTAAATGAGCTTTAAATGATCCTAACGCACTGTAAAATAATTGTTGTTGCATTAAATTAAGTAGGCCTATAATCCAAATCACTGCCCAGTCATATCGACTGTTAAACTTTGAGTAGTAATGAATTGCTTTGACTTGTGAAAGATGTGTGACTGTGAAACTACATTAATGTAAAATATATGTTGCCATGAGTTATTGATCACATTTCCCCCCAGTGTTCTTCATTGTAATGAAATTATGTTTTCCTCTTTTGTGCAGTTTTAAACAATACACTAACACTTTTATCTGTTGCCAAGCAAAGTGGTGACTGAAGCATGTGCAGTAAGATTTTTTCGGTAACACTTTACTTACAAGGGTGTGGATAAGACTAATATGACACATTCATAATCATGACATGACATATGTTATGAATATGAAGGAAGATTTATGCATATTTTTGACAACTGTCATTAAGTGTCATTCGCTCAGTTATGACATTTTTAATGCAAATATGACATTGTTTGAGATGTATTTATGATATGACACCTTGACATAAACCTGTCTTTGTCATGACAACTTGATATTACTAAGACAACACAACCTGTCATAAACACGACATAGCAGATTAATTATCAAACTTAAGAAACCATTGGTTAACATTACATTAAACTGTCACGTGGTTGGTTTTGACATTGACTGTCATGAGGCAATTTTAGTACCACTATAGTTGAGGTCACGAAAAATATTCATGATGGCCTCATAACACCCAATGTCAAAGTCAACCACATGTCAAGTTGTCGTGACAAAGACATCTTAAACAATGTAATATTTGCACTCAAAATGTCATTATTGAGCTAAAGACACTTAAAGGAGTAGTTCACTTTAAAAATGTCATCCAAGATGTCCACATCTTTCTTTCTTCAGTCGAAAATAAATGAAGGTTTTTGATGAAAAAATTCCAGGATTTTTTCCATATAATGGACTTCAATGGGAACCAAACGGTTCAAGGTCCAAAAGAGAGTTTCAGTGCACCTTCAAAGGGCTTTAAACGACACCAAACTTTAAAATGTACAGAAAGTAATACAGAAAGTTTTATTTAATATCCTATTCCTTGTCAACTGTCAAATTTTTGATCAGACTCACTGAAATATACCAGCCTCATGTAAAAGTTATTTGACTTCCTGTCAAGTTACATAACAAATTGATGTCATGACTGAACAATCGTCTTAATTGCAGTCAATTATACACTATATGGACAAAAGTATTGGGACATTGCAGTCTAAATCAATAGACATTATGGACTTGGTCCCCTCTTTGCAGCAATGCTTCCACTCTTCTGGGAAGGCTTTCCACAAGATGTTGGCATGTTTCTGTGGGAATACACCAGACTCATCCAACCATGTTTTTATGGACCTTGCTTTATTCACTGGGACAGTAATGATGGGATAGAAAAGGGCCTTCCCCAAGCTGTTCCCAAAAAGTAGGAAGCATAGTATTTGTCCAAATTGTGGATGCAAGATGTCCCTTAACTGGAATTAGCCCAACCCTTGAAAAACAGCTCCATGCCATTATCTCTCCTCCACCAAACTACAGTTGACACAATGCAATTAGACAGGTAACGTTCTCCTGGCATCTGCCAAACTCAGACTCTCCCAACAGACTGCCAGACACGGCAAACACGTTTCCACTGCTAGAGTCGAGTGACTGCATGACACGGCTGACTCCAATGCTTGCATTGTACTTGCTGATGTGAGGCTTGCATGCAGCTACTCAGCCATGGAAACCCATTCCATAAGCTCCCGCCGCCACACAATTTTTATGATGCTATTACTGCCAGTGGAAGTTTTGAACTCATCATCTATGGAATCAGCAGAGCATGGTGACACAGCTCTGTGGCCGAGTTGCTGTTGTTCCCAAACACTTCCACTTTCCAATAATACCACTTGACCATGGAATATAGCAGGGATAAAATTTCACAAACTGACTTGGAAAATGTGGCATTCTTTTACAGTATGCTTGAATTCACTGAGCTCTTCAGATCAAATCTTGTATTCCCAAATATGTCAATGACATGGCTATATGCTTGATTTCATATTTATGGCAATGGGTCTTATTGAAAAACCTGAATTTACTAATTAAGAGGTGTGTCTTAATACTTTTGTCCATACTAGTGTACAGGATATCATTAGATTATTTTATTACATTTCTGTTTAGTTATTGTTCATTGCATTATTATAGCCTCATGTGCATTACCCTGCATGATGTTGCATGTGTGTGTGTGTGTGTGTGTGTGTGTGTGAGGCCTAAAATGTCAGTTTTTATGCAGATCCCCAGCGAGGTAGCATATTTATGAGCTATGTGATGATTGTCTAAAGTTTGGAGGGTTTTTTTATGTTTTTAAAATACAACTCACTGAGACAGATTTTTCAGAAATCACGCATTTGATGAAACAATATAGTAAAACAGTAGTAACATTGTGAAGAAGCTATTATTACTATTTTACATCACTTTTTCCTTTTCTTTTTTTTTTTTGTATTTAAATAAAAAAAAAAAATGTAATACGTGTATCCTGTAATGGCAAAATTGATTTCCTTAGCAGCCATTAGTCTCCAATGGTCCTTCAGAAATCATTCTGTGAGGTTGAGAGTTCAGTCAGTCTAAATACTCCAGCCTTTATGAAATCAAACCTGATTTTAATCGTTTTTGGGAATAGCGGTGCGCCACAGGTTGATTTTAGAAACGTAATTTGCCATCCATTCTCCCCATAAGCCTCTTCTCCCAAGGAAGACAGATCGCTGGGTGGAGCTGTTCCCTCGATCTCTCAAGCAAAGAGGTTAATGAGATTAGCACATCCCTGCTCAGACAAGACAAGACTCTACCCATGTCCACTAGTTCAGACGGGACAAGCGCTTAAACGGACTGCATGGCAGCGCATGTCGAAATTCAAGCGCATCCACACTCATCTCGCATGGACTGGAGAATCAAACCAGCGTCCTGAACGAAAACCCACTCTTACCAAAACTAATTGAGCTGTTCAAG